TTATTTTAAGCGAGAAAGAGATAAGATATTCAAGTGTATAGTAGGTAACAGTAATTATAATTAGTAATTTGCATAAATTTATAAAAATGATTTTACAAATAAACGAACGAAATATATGAGATACAAATTAATGAGTTAATTAATTAGTAAATAAATTAGATCTATCATAAATACCTCTTGCCCAAAGAGTCATTTTTTTGCCTTTTTGCCTTTTTAACGAGCCGGTAGTTTCACCAATACCATAAATATTTGAATTTACAGGTAATTGAGTGGAAATTTCTATATATTGATCTTTAAATATAAATCTTTCATTTATTGTATTAAACAAGTTGTTATTATCAAATTTATCATCATCATCTCTTCTGCTCACTTGAAAACCAAATGGATTTACTTGATAACTAAATTTATAATCAAATTCTGTGTCTTTATTATTGCCATCAATGGTGCAATTACTTTCGCTGTTATTATTATGGTTGCTAGCATTATCATCAAGTGAAACCACTGATTCAGGAACACGCCAACGGTTTCCCTCTACATCTGAAATGCTGATGTGAATTCGATACGGAGTTTGATATTCCACCAAAAACGATAATTCTTTAATGTCATCCCCATATTCCGGAATCATGTCAACATGTTCTGGAGGGAGCGCTAATTTTCCATTAATGGAAGTTGAGGTGGTGATTAAGTCTTTTAAGAAATAGCCATTGTTAATTGGCTGAATTGTATCATTATCGGTTTCTTGATAAATATTACTGATAAAAAAAAAATACAAAAAAAAATTTAACAAAAAATTATTAGCAACATTAAAACACTTTTGAGAAGCTTACTGAGTTGTTGCCATTTTTGTAAAAAAAATTTTTTATTTATTAGGTAGGAAATCATGTTTTATATACTTTTTTTTAACGACTCCGCCTCTGTAGCGGGATTAAACACGTGTCCTAGTTAGTATTAGATTAATAATTATTAATAATATTAATATTAATATTAATATTGTTAACTTCCGTCCGAGTTGCCGGATTCCTTTTTATTTTTTTTGTACAGATTTTCCATCTGCATGTAATAAAGACTTGCAAATAAAAAAAAAATTTTCTTCGGAAAATTTTTAGCATTCAAAAGAAATTTACCATTTTTTTCAGATCCTATTTCCAGCCCTGATCATGTCTAATGATAATGGTGCAGATAATTTGGAACTGGCGGAAAATGTATTAAATTTACCTTATGATTTTTCAAAATCTTTTACAAAATCTACGGCAGAGCTTTTAAGTAATATGATGTATCAAAAACCAGAGCTTCGCCCAAAAATAGCACTAGCGCTTCAACGTCTGGTTGAAAAATATAAAACTTTATTAGATTCAACGCATGATGATGCTGAATTAAAAAAGCTTTATAAATTGGATAGGGCAACAATCACAAAAAATCTTGAAGTTTTACAAAAATATTCACCAAATTTCTTGGCGGTATTTTTCAATGTATTTAGTGAAACTTTACCTTTATACAGAGGATATATGCTTAATGTGATTAAAGCTTATTTGGAGATTACGCCTTTAAAAGATCTCAATGTGTTTTTTAATAAGGCGTTGGATCTTCTTAAGCAATCACTTGAAACTGTGGAAACAACATCATCAAACAACAAAAATAACAACTACAAAAACAATCCCAATGTACTTCCACCAATGTCCTATACAATGTTGGATTTGTTGATTGCAATGGTTCAATATCTTGATGTAAATTCTACTAAGCAATTGTATGATATGGCTGTTACGACCCTTATTTTCAAAGATGATGGAACTTTACAAAAGAAAGGTTACAAATTACTTAAACAAATTACAGAGAGTGAAAACAACAAATCAATGATATTGGAAAATATTGAGGATTTACAAAACAAATTATCAAGCACTGTTATGACAACAGTAACCCCTGTTAAAAATGTACGACTATTAACATTTATTAATATAATAAAGATATTGCCAGAATCTGACCTACACATGATACCTGATATCCTTTCAGAAACAATATTGTGCACAAAGGAGCCTAGAGAAAAAACCAGATCAGCAGCATATGAATTACTTGTTGTTATGGCCAACAAGATGAAAAATGGTGGCACAGTGGTGATTAGTAAAGTATCGGAAGCAGATCCAAATTCAGCAGATGTTGAAGCAAGTATTAATGAATTTGTTTTTTCGATGGTTGTAGCAGGATTGGCAGCCACTACACCTCATATGATCAGCGCAACAATCACATCCATATCAAGGTTGATTTTCGAATTTAAGGAAGATCTTGACATTGATCTTATTCACCAACTACTTTACACCATGGATAATTTTGTAAATTGTAAAAGTCGAGAAATTGTAAAATCTGCCTTGGGATTTTTCAAAGTAGCAACCATTTCGTTGGATGTTGATATCTTGACACCACATTTGTCACAAATCATAATAGGACTTCTTGTATGGTCTAATGAACACAAAAATCGTTTCAAGGTCAAAGTTCGACATATATTAGAGCGAATGATTAGACGATTTGGATATGATATAATAGAAAAACATGTACCCGAGAGTGATAAGAAATTAATTGTCAATATAAGAAAAAGAAGAGAAAGAGCCAAAAGAAAAATGAAGGCCAAGAGCAATACAAAAGCAATTAATAATGATAAAGTTACTAAAAAGCGTGTAGTTTATGATAGTGCCTACGATGAAGCATTATATGGTAGTGAAAGTGATTTGGAAGATTCTGATGATCATGACAATAATAGTGATGTCAGTGATGATAAATCAAACAAAAAAAACAAAAAGAAAAAGAATAAGAAATTCACTTCTTCTTCATGGATAAAAGAAGATCCGAATGCGCCAATTGACTTTTTGGATAGCAGTATGGTGTCCAATGTCGTTAATGTAGATCCTCAAAAGATAAATCAAAAAAAATCACTTTCATCAACATTTAAAGAAACAAGCGAAGGAAAATTAATAATTGAATCTGATGCTGATGATGATGATTCGGATGCTGATGATGACTTAGCAAAAGTATACTCTTCTATACAAAAAGCTGCCGAAAACCATTATTTAGAATCAAAAAATTCAAGTGTGGCGTTTACTCTTGGATTAAAACAAAAACTCAAGTATACTAATAAGAACAGTAATGATATGGATATTGATAGTTATATTACTAACACGAACACAAATAATAAAAAACATATTAAAAAAAGCAACGAAATTGAACCAATTGATGCGGTTGCTTCCAGAATGGCCAAAAAACAGAAAAAAAAGGAATTTATTCCAATTGGTAAAGAATATAAAGCTAAAAAAGCAGGAGGAGATATTAAAAAGAGTGGTAAACCAGATCCATATGCTTATGTGCCACTTTCATCAATGTATCATAAAAAAGGACAACAAAAAGTTAAGATTTCTTTGATTTCTAAAGGAAAAGTGTCAAAACGTCAAACAAAAATTAGAAAGAAATATTAATTTTTCATTTAATTTAACTAACACAAATAAAAAGAAAGTTTCCGTGTTACGGTTCCTTTCTAAACATTGTAATTTTTATGTAGATTTTTATATATTTTTCTTTTTTTTTTATACGTTTCCTAATTCTAATGATTTGAAATGGTTGGTTTCACGGAAATGTTTTTTTTGTAAAGAAGACTCATCAAGACTTGAAACGGTAAATTCAATGCAGTTACGGTAATGAATAAAAAATATTCTAAGCGCTTTGTTGCTCAACTGAATTGTCGAGAAAGGATGAGATCAAAATCAACTTTGTAATGAGTCGTTTTTTTGCTGCGCTGGCTTTGAAATGAGCTAAAATTGAAATTTGAACATAAAATATTCTCGTTTTCCAAAATGGTTATTTTTACATCGTCGTATCATACGAATCCCCATTGCTATCTATTTTAATTTGTCATGTTTTGTGGAACAGAGAACGGCAGGGTTGAGCGAAGCAAATACTTGACTGAAAGGAGATCGTGTTTCGCATTAGATTTCTTTGCGCGGTGTCTACCGTTAGGTTTTTGCCTTGCTCTGATGTTTCGAACCATTCAAAATTAATGGCTTCACCTTTACCTCTGATCGTCAAAGACTTGTCACACAACGTGTTAGTATTAACATATTTTCTGATCACAAGACCGGGATTCAAAAGCACTTTTTTTTAATTGTTCTCATGTTACGACTCGGATTGTTAACGGGTTAATGTTATTACAAAATGAAGACCTTTTGTGAAAAATTTAAATTTTTATTGCATTTTTGAATGAGTGCATGGCACAGCAATAGGAGGTCTTTAGACTGAGCCCATAATTTGATTGGTTTGATTTGTTATTTCATTGCAATTTAAATACTCAATACAAACAAATAATCAAATCTTAAGTTCAGTTTATCAAATTATATAAATTATGATTTGGTTGATCATTATAAGCAAAAATCAGTTTATGGTAGTTGAAATATGACTGATGTTTAATCAGAATTTAAGACCTACAAAGTCATATGATCTCATCACGTGTACAAAAAATAATTACAGGAAAGTAAAAAAAAATTGTTCGGCTAGCTAGTCGATCTTTGTCATAAGTCCCACCCAAAGAAAAAGGATTCTATAGTGACAGTCATTACCCATATTTATTTCATTATTAGATATATATTTAATAATGAAAATAAAATTCACACAAATTTTTATTGGTTCCAGCAACTCCAGTGTTTCCAAGCTGTTCCAGTGATTAACTGGAAATTCCCAACACTGGATTATAGTGGATATACGTCTATAATACAAGTACGATGTTATATCAACCATCAAAATAATATATTGGTGTACTTGACACGTTCTTCTTTTTAAATTAAATTATTAATATTAAATTATTTATTTATTAAAATTAATTTTCTATTGAATTAAATTGCAAAGATAACAAACAAATCATTCCAATTAATAATAATAATATTATTATTGTTAATATTTTATCATTGTTTATAATTGTATTATCTAGAATTGTTATTACTACTATTACACAACTACTAATAATAATCCTAATTATCACTTAATAACTCCCAATTATCTACAATATCATCGTTATTTAAAATAATGGATTTTGATTCATTATCTTTTTGATCAGAAATTTGCTGCTTGCTGTTATATGTATCGGAGGGATTCTTGGCTTTTGAGGTTTCGCCACTTTTAACATTTCCATCAAAAGGTTGCTTGGCAAGTGTGTCAAAAGGGTTCGTATAGATAAAAGGAGGAATTGTTGATTGATTTTGTAAATCAACTTCTATTACATTAGAAGGTTTATTACCAATGCCGGAAACGGTTGACTTTTTATTTTCCTGCCAAGTTATTTCATATTTAGAGTTAACCCAACATAATTCGGCCGATTCAGCTATTCCTTTCGTAACTAGGGTATCTTTGATTAAAAGCTTTATTTTGGCCAAAAAAGTCTCGAATTCATCAGCATGCATGGATCCAGCAGATGGTAAAATCATGGCATCATTTTTTTCTGTGACCCATTTCAATTGAAACTTAGTTTTTTTAAGCAATGGTTCTAAATCCTTGCAAAGCTTTTCATGAGTAATCCCAAATTCTAGTTCACTAAGATATATTGCATTAATTGCTTGTTTGTTTTTTCTTACAGGCTGTTGAGCTGTTGATGATGATGGGGAAGAGACAGCTTGGCTTTGATTGGTAGATTTATAATTATTTGTATAAGCTTGTGAAAGTAGGACAGATGGACTAATGTTAAAGAATAAAAGAATTAAAAATTGTTCCTAAATTTGCAAATTTAAAATTAATTGATTATAGTACTTACACTAATGAATCGATTTTTTTCGTCACAACAACACTTCTATATGGTTCAACATCCATACTATCAGATGCTAATCGATAATGAACACACAAGTTATGTATAAATTTTCGATGAAGTTTTTTCATCGCTGGCATATTTAATAATTTTTTTCTAAAATAAAAAATAAAAAAATTTTAAATTTTGTATCGCAAGATTTTTAATGATATAATGACTAAAACAGTAATTAATACTTACTCAGATTTTAATATGAAATTGTTTAACATAGATTCGATATTTTTTGCCCATTCTTTGTTTGAAGAATAATAACTCAATAAATCCTCCTCATATTCTGGAACCAATTTTGGAGCGTTTCTATAATAAATAATTTTTTTTAAAAAATAAATAAACCAACAATTAGTATAAATAAATAAATAAATAAATAAATAAATAAATAAATAAATAAATAAATATATTGATTGATGCATCACTTATAGAAGTAATAATGATGAATAAAACACATACCCGTCTCCGACACGATCGTCTAATTCTAAAGCACTTGCTAATTTTCTATTCCTTTCAACTACAGCACAATGATCATTACAATTCAAACGTCGATTTTTCATTTCTTCGGCATTTTCGGTGGTTGTATTACATGTTGTTTCATGAGACAAGTTGCCACATTTACATTTAATTGTAATTTTGGCTTTGCAGGGAATGTTATCAGGACATCTTGCAGGAGCATGGCAGGTTGCATCACATTTATGACCACATGATTTTCGAGGTTTACCACATGGCTGAGAACATTTTCCAGGAGTTACACCATTAGATAAACAATTATCTTGATGACAGATTCTTTTACAACGATGACCTCCGCATTCAAGTATTAGATCACATGCTTTACCACAGCTGACATTTCTTTGATGACATGGAACATTATTAACAACCCTTTTACCACATGAACATAATTTGCTAACAAGAAACGGACAAGGTGGGCAATTCCCATCTTCGTGGCATAGATGTGGAACGGAATTATGACCACATGATTGTGTACGATTACATTGATGTTGACATGCTGGTAATTTCTTGCCGCATGGTATGGGTGGATAAAGTTTTGTATTTCCACAAGAACAAGTTAACTCTTCAAAAGAAGCTTCTAAGCATTGCATGCAGTGACCCTTGTGGCAATTAAGCTCACAATTATGGTTACCACATCTTAATTTTTTGCCACATATAAATTTACATTTATGAATTTCTTCGTGGTCATATTCATCTTGAAAACTTTCGGGGGTTTTGCCTTTTAGATTTTGTTTCGAAGCTGCAGGACAACATTTTACATTACACTGATGTTTACCACAACTTTTCAGACCTTGACACATTTTATCGCATAGTAATTCTTGAATATCATTTTTACCAGACACTTCTGAACAAATCCTATCAAATTCAGTGCTGCCGCAACGACATTTTACAAGTATGTGAACGTCACACTTGCAGTCTCCATGATGGCAAGTACTTTGACATTTATGACCACATTCTAATAGCTTTCCACAGATTTGCGTACACAAAGGAATTTCATCTTTGCAAGAAGTTCTTTCACGACCAAGTAATTCCTTTATTGTTCGTGATCCACAAGGGCAAGACTTTAAACGTGATGGATTGAAAGGACAAGGCTCCACCTCTCCGATTGGATGACATTTTTTAGTACATGAATGAAACTCGCAATCGTAAAGTTTATTGCATATTTTTTCACAAGAAAAGTATCCAATCCAAGAATCATCCTTTGAATTTGTTTTTTCGTAACAAGTCGTTGCATTTCCTTCCTCACATTTAGCCTCACGCACACTTTGACCACAATAACATTTTTGCTTTTCAATAATCTCACATCGACAGTCACCTTCGTGACAAGGTCTTTCACAATAATGTTTACCGCATTCAAGCAATCGACCGCATGTCTTCCCACAAGATTTGACACTGGAATAATTAGGATCGGAACAACGGAATTGATATTTCTCACGACCACAATAACAATATTGAACAGGACCCATAGCTGGACAAACAGGACATGGACCAGGATGACAGAGGCTTGTACAAGTATGAGGACATTCTACTTTTTCGCGCTTTCGCCCGCACTTCTGGCCGCAACTATGTGGTGTGAAACAACGTTTATTCGGAGGATTTTCCATTTTACCACAGAAGCATAAATATTTATCAGGAATTGTATTTAATTGATTTTGACAGCCTGGACATCTCCAATATGCCATTTCAAGATCCTTTTTCTCTGTTATTGACTTTCCGGCCCATTTTTGTATGCAATTAATGTGGAAAACAGCCCAGCAAACTCTACAAAACCATGTCTTGTCGTAATATTTGATACTTTCGCAACAAATCATACACTCGTATTTCGATGTGCTAAGCCCGTTTGTGATAGAAGTCAATACATCGTCATTATTTTCTTCTGATGAAGGTTTGAATTTTGAATCTTTCTTTTTATTAGAATTTTGAATATTATTTTTTTTATCAGACCTTCTTGATGATGATGATGACGATGATGATGGCGATGGCAATTTTGACGAAGCCTCGATGTTATATCTTATAGGTTTTTTGCCTTTTGGATCGATATTATTATTATCATCAAGAACTATTGGTGGTTCTATAATAGTAATTTGTCGTGTGTTATCATCCAATTTTTCTTCATTTGAAGCGGGAATGCTATCATTATGTAATGATGTTGATGTTGAATTGGAAGAAGAAGAATCACCGGTAGAGATTTTATTAGTGGATTTATTATTATGGGTAGTTTTTTTGTTTTTATTTCCTGGTGAATGATTTCCATAATGACGATTTTGTCGTCTGGAACCATCGGATCTAGGATTTTCAGTTGTTTGTGATGAAGAATTTGATACTGAGTGATTATTTGCTTGATCATTTGAGGAAGACGATGATGAAGTGTGTGTAATTTTTCTATTGTTTTTATAAAAATTATTTCGAGCCATTTGATTTGAGGGTGATGATGTTGATGATGGGTGATGATTATAATTTTGATAGTTGTTATAATGATTACGATTATAATTATTATTATTTCTAGATTTTCTTGAGGTGTTATTATTTAATGTTTGATTATCATTTGAAACTGTACTCGTAGATTGATTTTTCATTTTGTTATTTGCACCTTCCGAATTATTATTATTATTATCATCCTTACTAATATTGTCATTTGAATTTCCCGCTATTTCCTGTTGAAGATTATTATTATTTTCAACGATTGCATCATTAGCGTTTGTAATTGATATATTTTCAGCTAGGAAATTAGTATCCTGAATTGTAGTAACAGTTGATTCTGTGGTATTTTCTTGACTTGAAGACATATTATTAGTTTCGTTATTATCATTATTATTGACAAGATTTTGTTGTGGTTGTTGGTTTGAATAATTATTTCTTGATTTATGTCTGTTGCGTGGAAAGGATCGATTATTGTTGTTCTGAAAAGATCGATTCCTTCTTTGGGAATTTTCGGCATTTTCAAAATCTTGTTCAATGTAGTTTGAATTTCTACCTTTACCTCGTCGATAATTATTTCGATTGAAATTATTAGTTCTTGGTCTATTGTTATTGTTGTTGTTGTTGTTGTTGTGAGGAGGATTTTGTTCAGAATTTGAATTTGAGGAGGTATTAGGAGTTTGTTGAGGTATTTCTTCAACAGATGTGGAATTTAAATCTGTATGATTGGTTGAATTCATGTTTTAATTAAATTAAAAAAAAATTTTAGAGAATGGGAAATTGAAAATTTATTATTATCAAACTTTTTTTTATAATGTCAAGATTAGTCATATTCCTCATTAGGCGCATAGGCGTAGTAAAATTAATAAATTTGGTGCACAAAAATTTATTTATTTCGGGAAATTTTTAAAAAAAATGATCTTCGGGGGGAATAATAAAAATAATTATTACTTGGTAAATAATAATAATACATACAATGGTATATAATCCTAAAATGGAACATAATGAATGGGATTTTGATATAAGATTTATAATTTATCATGACAAAAAAAAAGAACAGTCCTTATTCGATTTTTTAAAATGCGGATTCAATATTAATATCAATATATAAATACATTCAAATTACAGGCCGCTAACAATGTTATTCTATATAATATTGTGCCACAAACCACCCGTAGTAATGCATCCACTATATTAATATATCTTTGGTATGACATGAAGTTAGTTACACGATGGATTTATCAGTAATGTAAAGCAGAAGTTAATTCAATGAATTACCTAAAGTATGTAAAGTTCAACTCGAATTATTAACATATATTATTTAATTCAATTTTGCATGCCGCAGAATAACAAGTGATACAAACTTTGTAAAACGGTAATTATTTTTTGTTCCGCCTCCATCTTTTTTCAAAAATGCCATTTAAAATTGTATTAATGAATATTTTAAAATGGCACACGATATTATTTGGATTGGTCGAACCATTATATTACCTACTTTTGATTTCTCGGCCTGATTATCTAATAAAAAAATTTATTTTCAAAGAAATAATTTTGTTATTAAACAATTTCTATAGACAATTACTTATATTTAGGAATTGAAGGAGTCCAAAGTATATTGTTTCAGTGGCAAACCTGATACCAGATCAGGAAAAAAATAAATATAATAGCTGGTATATTCAATGGCTGACAGAAGGTCAATACTCTAGATCTTTACCTAACGTGGATGAATGGAAGAATTTTCAAAAGCAAAAGTAACCAAACTTCATCCACAAACTTTTATTCATGCAACCTTTTACAATACACACACATATATACTTTACTATTTAGGAAAATTGTTTTTCCATTCCAATGCAAATTGGCAAATATAATGTAAATCAAAAGTCTTATATAATACGCACTAGATAATAATTGAAATGATCATTATTAAAAAATAATCTATTAAAAAATATATAAATTTTTTTAAGAAAAATAATGGACAATTTGGGATTCCGTGATCTCTCAAGTTTTAATATCCCGGACCTGGATTTCTATCAATGATCGACGGACCGCCACTTAAGTTTTATCTCATCAACAAATGAATTCTTTAGCTCGCATTCAATCATGAATTATTGATTTATTTAGATGAATAATAAGAAGTTTTAAAAAGCCGAAATATCTAAAATATGGTAGTTAGATAATAATATTACATCAATATTTTGTCTTTTGTTAACACTTCTCTCGGAAGATCCTCATAATACCTGGATTTTATGTTACACGGATTACATAATTTGTAAGCTAATATAAAGAAAAAATGTTTGTATTATTTAAAATTCGACAATAAATAAAATCAATATACCAACTATTAAAATCAGGTGATATACACATGATTTGATTGTATTATTAATCGGACTGAATTTTGCGCAACATGTCAATTTTTACTAGATATAATATTAATATTATGAATTTTTTAATCAGAAACGTGATATTTTGTACACACATTCTTTGAGACCCTTTGCAAAACTCTAGCTATGGTTTAACTAACGAAATGGAAAAGAATTACCCGTTTAAAGTTATGCCTTCTACTTCAATCCTTAATAATGCCATAGCAAATTTATTTTGAACTTTTAATTTCAATAAACATAAACAAGAAACCACTATTTGACATCATTGGTAGTCAAATGAGGCGTGAACAGTGGAGACAAGGACAACTTCTATGATCCATATTCCAAATGTATAATTCCTTAGTAAATGATATAATTTTTAATAAATATCTTTTTAATTCAACTAGGATAGTGAGTTTGGATCAACTATTACCACCACCATAAAATCAGCCTTATGGATGGAAATATTTAAAGCTAAAGGTAATGACGATAAGTTAATGGGTTAAAAGGACTCACCACATCAATAAACAGATATATTTATTTAACATTGTATTTACAAATCAATAAATAATTATATTGTTTTTTTTTGTTATATGTATCAAATCTGAAGTACAAGAATATATAACAATAATTTAACAAACACATACAAGCATAAATCAGAGCAGAAGGTCGTTCTAATAAAATGGTATTTTTATTTCGATTGGTTCAGCATTTTGTTAATTAATCAAATCAAGGAATTTTAATGTGAGTTGTCAATTGCCAACGATCTTTAAAGTCTACATAACAACAATATATGATTTATTAATTATGGAACTTTAGCTTTCGAATGAATCTAAGATCAAGATTGGTAGAATTGCAAAATTTTAAATTTGGATTCAAATCAGTTGCAAAAGATTTAAAAGACAATCATATATAAACATAATATATAGATTAAGGAAGTAATACTAGAAAGGGTTTTATTTCAATCAATTGAATTTTGGTGAAGATTAGATTAATTGTTATCGAATAACCAATTATATGAGTCAATTTCATAATTTAGGCGTATATTTAAATTGATGATGATGTATAAATTTAAATGATAATGACATGCGATTTTTAGTATGATAAATGATGGATGTTTGGTTTTCAAATGAGTATAAAATTGTAGCTTCAAAATGAACTCAAGATCATTGACACATTCTCAAAATTAAATAACTTTGTGACACAATAAGATTTGTGCTTTTTTCTCCTGTTACATGTTCTCTTGGTTAACAAATACTTTTACGCAACTGATTCAAGATGCAAGAAATAAGTTTTTCGTTGATAAATGACAGATTCCTTGTTGAAAGAAATCATAATTAACGGAGTAATTAAAATCACTAAATCACTACAACAATAACAGGAAAATTATTTTTTATTTTTTTAACAAAAAAAATGAATAATATAAAAAAATACAAAAAAAAATTTCAATTTTTAACTTTTTCTTTTTTTCAATCAATAACTTTTAAAGGCGACCTCCACCATTTCATGTTAAATTGCGTTAATAACATGCCAATCAAACCTAATAATGGCTCCAATAATTTTAAGAAACTCTCTTGTTAGATAACTTTATCTCTAACTTGTATTTTTGGTGCTTATTTTTGACTATGTTACTGTAATTCCCTTCGAATGATTTTTTTTTTTATTGTTGTTCTCATCAATGTATATATCAATTTTGTTTATGTTTCTTATTCCTGATACCAATAACAAAACTATGGAATTATTTTTGTTTTGACAAGTTGATGTTGAATTGAAATAAACAATACAGCTAACAATATTTCTCCTGGCGCTAGCCATGTTACTGATGATCCCGATGGCGGAGTTATCCATGTTACCAATGATCCCGATGGTGGAGTTTGTTTGCCTTACTACTGGCAGGGTTGGCAAATATGTGGTCCATTGGTGGTCCATTAGCGTAACCCTTTAACCATATTTAGTATTTTATTATGGCAATGGATCCGTCCAAAGTCCATCAGTTCTCAATGGATCAGTCAATTTGCCAACCCTGGCTACTGGTAAAAATATAATATCATTTTTTTTGGCTCCGGGTCTTCTGGCCTGGAGGCGTCTATGTGATCTTTGTTGTTTCATGCCTAGTTAATACTTCTTTTTTATACCTCGGACTGCTAGTAGTTGGTGAATTTCTTTATTTGTGGTTATGCACACCTTACAATACATTGGGTTGTTTTTTAACTATTAGCCAAAAAAACTACATAGTACGGTGTGGTTTGCATCACTAGCTAGCTACTATTATTACTATATAAGGGTGTAATAGCTTTGCCAATTAACGATATTTTTTTATTATAACGATTTTATTATATGATTTGTTGTTTGATGACTAATGCTTTAGATCTGTCTCTTATAACAAAATCACCTCATAGCTACTTCAGTCAGGATTATTACCAAATATGGAATTTCCTAGAAAAAAAAACAAAACAAAAATGATTGGCTAATTTTATGCAGATCTTTTCTTTGATAAATAAAATAAAAAATAATGCAAAATTTATGTGTTACGTTTATTTTTAACTGCTTTACGAGCTTTATGAATCTATCAAAAAATAATCAATAGCTTCAAATTATAATCATAAAATTACCATAAAAACACAATATCTTTTTTCATAATACTGATGAAATGTTTGAGTTATCAACCTGTCATTCATTCTCATTCGTTATTAAAATTAATAAAATTATTAAATAGTATCATGAAATATATTATAATTATAAATTAATTGTAAGCTTTTTTGGTATAAATAAAGTCTATGCCAAATTTTGTATGTATATATATATATATAACTTCTTTACCTGCTTATCATTAATTCACTATTATAATTGTTTTCATCATCGCTTGTAAATAATTCTAATATGATTGGAACTATAAAAATATGAATAAATTATAGAGAATTTGTTACATCATTTAATTTTGTAAAAGCACTTTGAATAAATATTTAACAAATGGTTTTAAACGATCTTTACTTTATTCCCTATTGCATTTAACATATTTATCTCAAATGTTTCTCTGAATATTTCTCAGTGCAACAAGTGCAATTGATCTTGACGCTTTACCACTAAAGTTCAAAGAGAAAAAAAAAAACTTAAAATTTAAACTCCCGGCACTTAAATTTCTTTAAATTTATGCAAAGGCTTACTTTAAACAAATTAATATGTTTTTGTAGATTTTTAGTAGATTATGAATACACTTTTGCAGAAAATGAAACTTTGTTCTATTAAAAAATTTAAATACATATTAATACGCCTATATAATTTTAAAAGCATGTCTATTGCCTTCTACGGCAAACGATCTAATAATGACTGTTTTATTAACAAAGACAAATATTCTGATATAAACTTCATGTATTATATTATTATTATTATTTATTATATGATCCAATGCACCTTTACCGGGATAGAAAATATTAAAAATTCAAGCTCTCAATAACAATTTATACATTATAGATAAACGATCATCATTGACAAGATAAAAAGTACGTTTAATTACACCGTTTGCAACAAAGATAGAATTAATAGACTTTCACTCATCTTTTACGAAAGGCAGGTTTTCTGTAGCTAACAGTTTCAACATGTAGAAGAACATCAACATATATATAAAATAAATAATATGAATACAAAATCTAACCTGCTTGGAAACCTAGTTGTAGTTAATGATATTGGAGTTGTCAATGTCACTTCATTGCCTAATTTAAATTTCAATCGTTATAATTCTAGTGATTTTGCTAGGATTTTTATCATTGAATTTTTTAAAAGTTCTGGGGTAACCTGTCTATCACTGTAATTTTCGGGGTCCTACCAAGATGTAAAAATCATCACAATATTAATATTTATTTTATAACCAATTCTGTAATCTCTAATTAAAATGCTCATAATATAATTACCTGTTATAGAATTTGAAAGCTTGTGTTTAATTTTGTACTATTACCTTTTATATTTACATCATTAAGGAATATTTTCAACACGCCCGCCATTGACTAATAAATAACACACCACTATGGCGAAGCATAATAATACTCATATCATACCTTCCTTTCTTTCCCAGTAGACTTAATTAAGTATGCTGGCTCATTTACACGATTTAGTACAATAAAATATTTTCCCAAAATGTATTTGGTTATGTTGTAATTGTGGCTGAAATAAATAAAAACGTGATTTATTCGAATGTTTGAAAAACATACACTTCCTATATAAAATCCTAATAACCTCTCCATTGCTCGAATTGCTTTGGTATTATATTAGACAGAACCTAAGCTTTCTATTGATATGCTTTTAATGAGCCAGGAATGATTTTTTTGGTGGCCAAAAATGTTAGATGATCGGATAATTTAAAGAACTTTTAGTTATTTTATTTAAGGTATTATATTTGTGAAAACCCGTAAAGACCTAAAATCAATCTCATTACAAAAATTTATATATCTATATGTTTCGAAACATGAGAAGAAGCATTTATTATTATTATTATGCTATCTAAACTTGACAATTGAGTTTGGCTTTTTATTATTATTTATTATTAATGCAAATCATTATTTACTTACACAAAAGGTGTAAATTATTATTTACTATTGCGGTGATCTGCGATACTTATTATGAAAGGTAAAGCGTAGAAAACACACAAATAATTAAATTCAACATCTAATATGATACATAGAAGGCCATTATTACCTCGAGGTCATTCGAGATCATCCACATTGGCCATTGCTCTTCAAAAGGCTCAATTGGCAGTGGATTTGGAATCTTCTAATAATCTTGTGGCTGCACTTCAAGCTTATAAAGAAACGGTAGATTTACTTACTCAAGCTATGAATAGATCTGTCTATCAGCCTGAACACCCAAGGATACAGCTTATTGTGAGTTTTTGATATTTTGATTAATTAATTTATACACTATTTATTATTCACACATAGTTATATTAAATAGAATATATATTAATGGAAAGGTATTAGTTAGTTATTTATTTCTAAAAAATATTCCTCAAAAATCAATCATTCGACAATATTTGGACGGATAATATTAACTTTTCACTACCTTCAATATATCTTACGTTTAGCATCCATCATATATTATTAAAAAATTTTTTTTTGATAATTAATTCTAATCTTTTATTATTTATTAATTATAAAATATATACTCTATAGCTTGACACATATGCTGAACGGGTACGATTATTATCTATTACCACTTATGCAGGGACTCATCAAATTAATGATAATAACAATAATGACGATTCATTATCAATAATTGCTTCAAATAATCAAAATTTGGCAGATTCAGTTAAACAAGATTTCGTTATGAAATGTAAAAATTTGAATGAAAACAATGAAAACAATGAAAACAATCAAATAATACAATTATCACAAAGTAACTATACTGCAAATAATAATGACAATCCAGACAGCAATGGCGACGATGGCGTTAATAATAATAATAGTGTTAATGATGTTAAAAAAGAAACATTAAAATTTGAAAATATAAATTTATCAACAGCCCCATATTCAGTTATGTCTCATAAATCAAATAATTCAATATCAACCATTAATTCATATAAATCAACTAGGTCAGATATAACTGCACCTGTTTTAATTTATGGAAATGGAACATACACAACAAAGTCTCTTGTGAATTCATGTGACATAGATGATTCAAATTCAAGTCATTATTCTTCTTCTGACATAGGTTCTGGTTATGAAGAAACAGACTCTAGCAGTGTTTATACAAATGATCTTACAGAACATTTTCAGAAACTTGATTCAGCATCATCGTCAATATCAATTGTTACTGATAAAACAAAAACGGATATAGAAGATATAATGAAAAATAACAACAATTATGGCAGTGATGTCAATAATAATAATAATAGTAATAATATAATAGTGAAACAAAACATAGCAGGAAAAAATTTATCGACTACCACACCAGCTCGTATTTTTAAACCTCCACCTCCACCAAAAATGGTTCCTCCATTTGCTTCAAAAAGTTCAAACACGCACTATGCTTCCAATTCTCTTAATTCTCTTTCAACTTCACCGCCACCCGAAAGATTTACAACCGGGTTTCACATGAAATCAATTTCTGATAATATTTCTATAAGAAAACCTCTGCCCCCAAATATTTCAACTTTACCTTCTATTGGAAAATCGAAAAATGACGACAAATCACATGAAAACAGTTTTCCTAGTTCATTTTCATTAGTTAAACAACAACAACAACAACAACAACAACAACAACAACAACAACAACAACAACAACAACAACAACAAAAACAACAACACTATCAAGAGCAACAAAATAAATCTAACTATCGCAATACACTTGCTCGTTTACCGAAAAACCAAGATATTTCAGCTATGTCATTACAAATCAATGACAACAATTATCCAAGAAGGTCAGCATCAAATCCCGGAAACCCTCCCTATAAAAATGGTAGTACTAGCTGTCTTAATGATCGTCCACAATTATTGGCATCACAAAGTCACACTCAGATACCAACAAATCCTTCAACTATATGGATGAATAATATTTATAGTTTATCATCACCATCATTAAGCAGTCCACCACCATCATTACCATCACATACTGTTGGAGTTCTTAATAATGAAACTTCGCCTTTATCAAAAAGCAATGATATCGGCTATTCATCTTGTTTTACAAATCCAATACACAACCCATTATTTTATAAAGATGTTAAATCTCAAAATATTAATGAATTTGGGTTATTAGAATCTCCACCAAACGACATACATTTAAAGCCATTCTGGTTAATACGATTATTAGAGCAAACCATAACAACAGGAGGATATCTGACTAAAAAATTATATATTCCGCCTAATTTATGGTTGCAAGGACATTCCAAACTAAATGCACTAGAAACTAAAATATCAAGTTGTGATGTCGTTTTGAATTGTATACTTAGATTGGAAAAGGTTTCAATTGACGATAATGAGACATTAATGAAGGTAAATATAATGTAAATAATAGATATATAAATAGTAATAATTAGTTAATTATTAAATTTATAAAATGTTAGGAATTAGAAAGTATTGACCCTATATTTGAGGGATTACAAAATTCGTTAGCAAAAAAGTTGAATTATATAGAGTCTACAAATGGAAAAAGTTGGCAAAATTCCAGTTCATTCATTAGTTGGGGTTCTAAATTATCACGTGGCCTTGATCGAATAAATGTGAGTAATGCTATGGAAGATGGTAATAGTTATGCAGGTGTTTTGTTGAGATTATTTCAAAAAGTTCGTATAGTGGGTAAGTAAGAAGATTCATTATTATTAAATTATTATTAAATTGTTATTAAAATATTTTTACTTTTAAAAAAATTGTTTTTTATAAAATATTAGAAAATTTTATTCTGCATTTTTCATCAATGAAACCGCCCTATCGCCATCATCACACACAAATTGTTATAAGACTTTACAAAATTTCCAAATTTTTTCAAAATGTAATATGCAGACTTGTTATAAGGGATTTAGGCATATTGGCAGATAAATATGTGAAAAAAGGGTGCAATTCGATAATTGATTGAATAATTTATTTTCTTTAAATTATTTATTTATACTTACATTTTTACATTTTTACATTCATGCATTCATGCATTCATCCATACATACAATACCATTCATACATTCATACATACTTTATTTATTTTTTAATAATAAATTAATTTGTAAAACTAATGTGTAACCGTTAAAGCAACTAGTATCAATAAAGATATACTTCAAAAGAAACTGACCAATAGCAAAAGAAATCTTGAGAAAAATTTGGTGCAGGTGGTACAATGTAATGAATATTTCAAAGATTCATTAAATTGAAATTTTTACAAGTGTAGTTTATCTGAATAGTTTTCACACTGACTCGTATTTTTTACCCGCGCATGTTGTTGCTTACATTTCTCATAAATAATTCTTGCACAGACGCGATATCGTTGAAGTTTACGACGCGTAAAAACACGGTATAGCATCTATATAAAAAAAATTTTGAAATGCAATCAAAATCATGATTTTCTTGAATTTTTTTGACTGAGAAATTTATATGTATAATCGCAAGGAACCTAGGCTATAAACTGATCTAAAAAAAAAAATTTTTTTTTTTTGATATGCAAAGTTTTACTAAATAATCAATTTTCTTCCAAGTGGTGTATAATAACAATAGGATCTACAGATTTCACTCTGACATGTTTTTTCGTCAAATAAAATAAATTATACGTTTTATTTTATTTTATTTTTTATACGTGTAAATTAATATCCGTCCGGGTATTCAATCCCTCTTACTATTATATCATCATTATTATCACCAATCAATAACTTTCTTTCTACATAAATTTGGGTTGTACAAATCTATATCTAAAAAGGTTAACGTGCATGGTAATAATAAATAGAAAGAAAATTAAATCAACAGCGTAGGAAGGAGGGTAAGAGAACTGATCTAAATTATAATTTTTTCTGAGAAAATTTTATATTATATTTTAAATATTGAAAAAAGACTATACAAATGTCTAGCGTAAAAAATAGAGTAAGGTTATTCGAAAAGCCTAAAGAACCTAGTAATGTCGCAAATAAAACGTATAGTTTTTCCAGAACCAACAAATTCAATAAAAATGTTCCTAACAAACTTAACATTAACACTACTTCTTACAATAACGTTATTTCCACAACTAATAATAAAGTTAATATTGATTCCTCTGCTGGTAAGAGTAATAATGATAATAAATCTCAAGTTAATGCAAAAGCTACCGCCACCACAACCGCCGCCACCACCACCACCACCGCCGTTATTGCTACTACTAACAATGACTCAGACATTACAAAACCCACAAAACCAATATCAACTCCTTCCACAAATACTGACACCAACTCTGACATTGACATCTCCAACATAAAAAATAACACCTCTAGTAATAGTAGAGAAAGAAATAGTAGTAGTAACAAATCCAATAATTTCAAAAAAATCAACTCCATTACCATCACTCCCATAAATAGTAAGGCTAGACCTACTAGTATAGTAAAGGATCATAGTAAAGCGGTATCTTTAGATTCTTCTTCAGAAAACGAATTAAAAAAGTTATTAAGTACTACTGATATTAATAAGATAAATTCAAAAGATCTGGTGAAAGCAGCTACAGTAATACAAGCATCTCCAACTCCTAGCACTGCATCTGCTGCAATGGTTTTGTTAGCTTCAAAAATTTCTGCTTTAGAGAATGAATTAGAAACTGTTGGTAAAGAGATGGCTGAAAACATTAAACGTGAAGTAGATCTGGAATTCGAATTAGATAGTGTTATAATAAAAAAAGAAGAAGAAATACAGGCTGTTACTAAACCATTAGTTACTAGAATAAGTCAACTCGAGGCTGATTTATTACAATACAAAAAATCGTATTCTTCTACCTTTTCGCTAGACGATATCTCTTCAAGCACAAGGTCTTCAAGAGAACATTCTGATTTTTTTTCTGAAGTTAACTCTCCAAATAGTGCCTCAACTAGTATTAATACAACTCATAATTTTATGTTTTATGATAAACTTTTAAAAGATAACATCAACGCTAGTAATGAAAACTATCATGATATAGAATCAATAAAACAAGAATTAGCAGACAAACATTTTAATGAATTGGAAAAAGTGAAAAATGAACTTTCCGAACAATTTAAAAAAAAAGAAGAACGCATAAAAGTAGAATTAAAGGAAAGATTTGAAATTGAAAAAAAGGAATTGTTGGGGAATTATTACAATGAAAAAGAATCAATTGATTTTGAAGTTGAAAAATTAATCAAATTAAAAAATCAATTAGAAAAAGAAATCATATCTATCAAAGATGATTTTAAAGATGAAAAAATTTTATTAAAGCAAGAACATGAAAATGAAATATTGAAAATAAAGGAAAAATTTAATTCTGAATCAACTTTATCTTCACTAACATTATTAAATGAACTACGCGAGGAAAACCAAAAATTAAAAGATCAACTTGATGATAAGGAAAAAATAGAAACAGAATTCGATCAACTCAAATTTGAATTTGACCAAATAAATTTTGAAAAAGATCAAATAGTAATCAAATTTGAAGGTTTAAATAATAAAATTAATGAGCTTGAACATCTAAATGAAAATCTAGAAAGTAAATTGATTGCCAAAGATGAAAAGATAAAAGAATTAAAATTTGAATTTGAATTCAAAAGAGAAAAAGAAATTAAAAACTTACAAATAAGATTTAAAGTTGATTACGAAAATATCATTCAAGCATTGCGTGAAGAAATTGAATCATTGAGAAAGAGAAACAAAGATTTAGATGAACTTGAGTCATCTTGTAATGAATTAAAAACTAAAAATGAAGAGTTTCAAGCAAAAAATACAAAAATTTCATCAGAATTATTTGAACTTACAAAGGAATTGGAAAGGATTGAAGTTGAAAGACAATTATTGGAAGAGGATATTAAAGACTTGAATGAGGAAAAATCACAATTAATTGATGAAAAAGAAGAATTAATAAAAGTAGTACAAACCTTAGAAGAAGAAAAACTTGCATTGAAGGGTGATATTGTGGAAGCTCAAGGAGCTCATGATAAAGTAGCTGACGTTCTTAAATTTATGAAGGTTGAATGGGAAAATCAATATAAAAATCTTAGGTCTGAATTTATTAAATCAGAATCACGAATAAAAAATCTAGAGAGACAAAGAGAATTACAAGGTAAAATGTTGGATGAGCAAGATATCATTATACCAAACAACGAGTCATTGTATAAAAATATATATACATACAAACAAGAATTAGAAGTGCTTCAACAACAACTTGAAACTTCAAATAAAAAAATTTCCGAGAAAGATGATGAACAATATAATCTTATTCAAACACTCGAAAAAACTGTAATGGACTGTGAAGCCAAATTTGATACATTAAAAAAAGATCATCAGAAAGCATTAAATTCATTACGAAAACAACATGAAGATGAAATAAAAAATATTACTACAGAGATGCAGAAAAAATTAGAATTAATGGAGAAAAAACAAAGAAATACATCATCGAGTAATGACAATGGTAATTTCGAAGAAAATAAAAGGCAATTAGAATTAACAAAAGGTGAATATGATAGATTAAATGAAAAATTAGCACAGATTCAAATGGAATATTTAGATGCAGTTCATAATAAAGATCAATTGATAGAGGAGAAACATACAGCCGAAAGAAAAATCAAATCTCTAGAAATAGAACTTGAAAAGGTAAGCCATTATTAATAATATTATTACTAATGATGACATTGATGTATCAAGAGGTTTTTCTTATTACCATTACCGCCAATGCCAATACTAATTAATATTACTAATATTATTTATTAGGTATTATCTAAAAACATGGAATTAATAATTGAATTAAGCTTAAAATAATCGACGATGATAATGTTGATTTTTTTTTTTTTTGTAACAACTAATTTAATCATTATTTATTAAATAAAATAAAAATCTTTTTTGTGGTTTTCATATCACATAATAATAATAATGATTTGGTTTTGTTATTTCATTCGTGTCCGTCATCATATATAATACTCGTATGTCAAAATGAAAGAAATGTCGTGTCACCACCACCACACAAAGGAAATTCTCATTATTTGTGTAACATTTAAGATCAAAAAAAGACGAATAATTTTTTATTAGTCGCGGGACATTGCAGATCAAGTGTCATTCAATATAAACGTTACACGAATAAAATTATTATCGTCCACTTCAAAAAAAAAATCTCCGTTTTTCATGTAGCAAGCGATTTTCAACCATAATAAATTTTTTAGAGCCAGACTGGGGCTTTTAACAACAGTTAAAAGAAAAGACTAGCTTAAATATT